CTTCTCTTCGTACTCGGTTTAACATCCTAATTGTGCGAACATTTCTAAAGATCTATGCATCGCCATTGAGGAGAGCACAATGTATAATTCCAAATCATGTGACCCAATTTTTCGGCCATCAGTGGCGAAAATTACGGTGGCCCCAAGTAATTTTCGCACAGACCCAATTGAAAACATTACAACTGCAGCTCCGTGAGATACTAATCATAAGCAGATCTGTGTAAACATGTCGAATAGAATTTGATGACATATTTCCCAATAATCGCAAACTTTTACGCAGTAGATACCTAAATTGTATTTTTGAGGAGCCTTTAATAGATGAGAAACGGCTGCAGTGATAACAAATGACGCTTCAGTTTGTGAAGAAAAGGCAGGGGTGGAAATCGCATCATTATATTTAGATTGGTCTTTTTCAATTCGCTTACCTTACTTTTCTCCTATTTATCATTCGGAAATACTTGCCGTTATATTAGCTCTGCGGAAATTACCCCTATTATTATCAGAAGCCGTCATTCCGACAGACAGCCTATCTGTCTGTTCCTCTTTAACTGCATCAAATTTTTTCATTATTTTAAAAACAATTCATTCCCTCTATCCAAGACATATGCGCATTATTCGCTTGGTATGAATACCAGGGCACAAAGATACAAAATGAATAAGCGGATGCACTCGCACTTAAATCATGTAACGGTCCGATAATGTCTATTTTGCCGACGTTGGCATTTGTAACTGCAGTGCGTTTTGAAAAACTTGCCGTATCAGACAACTCTTCAAAGTCTGCATTTTCCGTTTCGGAGTTCCCTCACATCAATTATCGTTGGAAAAATCAATGGTGTTCCTCCAGAAGGACCAAGTACGCAAGTAGCAAAATACGAAGCCGAGTCCGCCCACTGAATTTTTACGTACACAGGTCTAGTCTGGTACAGTCACATTTAAGCCTTCATTGCAAAGAGTGTGAATCTCTTGATCATTTCTAGACGAACCAATTTGAAGGTTGAGACTAAATTTATCCCTTCCGGATCTTTTTTCCTTTGGGGCTACCGTGCTGAGATTTAGCCACAGGAGCGTTTGCGATTTCTTTCGGGAGACTAGAAGAATAAAATGCTAGGTTCATCGTTAAAAATTGTCAATATCAACCGTATTCATTAAAAACTTAACATTATGAAAATATGAACATTTCTTTTTAAATCACATGACACCGTTCGTTTCATGGCTGATCCCCCATGGTGGGTTGCGCCAGGATAAAAGGGACAAACAAAGATGAGGCTCTGAATGTTTGCTCTTATAGCTTACGCTCTGACTGTGCTGCACGTTCCGGCAAAGCCTGGTGTTTTAAAGACGATAGTCTTTCTTTGGGACGACGAAAAAATTTTGGTCTGTCTTTGTGTCTGTACATTTGTCGGTTTGTCCGCCCTAACAATACCTCAAACGGCACCAAACGGCCAACCCCATGCGCAGCCCCCAGCAATATTTCTCAAGGTTTAGCGCTCACAGCTGTGCGATTGTCAATCAAAAAGCAATTATTGCGCATATCTGAAGAGCCACAACCACGCTTCGATGTTTTGTATGTCGGCCTTTATACTAGAAGAGGCACACACAAGTAACTCTAAGGAATGTAGCCTTTATCGCGCTGCGGTGACAGTGCAACGCAATGCTAAGAAAGGTGTTTCCAACGCCTTGCTACGACGTCACGGTGGTGGCACCTGGCCATCGCCTTGCGTTCTACACCTTATCACCTCCGAGACTAGCGCACATATTTCTCCGCGGGCAGCACGCCTTCATTTTCGAACATAACTGCCAGATGGCGCTTGTGTCTAACGTGCCTTGATGTGCTCGTTTGCTTTCGCTACACGCTCTAGGCACTCTGCAGCACCTGCAGAATACCATTCACCGATTTTCTTGCGCAGAACATCAATTTAACGTTTTGTTCACTCTCCAGACGCAAGACTATCGCCTTTCGATGACATTTGTGGTGTAACATGCAGATTTGGAACCTATTTTTTGTTTTTCGTTTCTATTGGTTCTTTGCTTCATTGTGATCATCTTACTTCTAAATGTTAGCATATAGGTAGCGGTTTGTTGCACACCTCGGTGAAACATCCCGGTGATGCGTGAGCATATATGTATATTTAACATACGCAGGCACTTAGCGGACGGCGGACCGTGGCTAAATGCTGTCTAGTAGGTGCCGCGTTTCTCGTTAACTATAGAGGTAGTTCATCTTTGTAAATAATTTAAAAAGGCACAGACAAAGCTGATTAAGTTGTCCAGTTGATCTCCCACGTCCATGAAATTGGTACTTAATTACTGTTAGGACGCATTTTTACAGCTATGTAAACACGTCCACCCCCCGAGAGTGGTAACGCACAAATTCAAAAAATTTTTTTATCGCTTAAAACAAATAGATAATTTGATAAAACTTTCTGAGTGAGTAGCGAATGAAGGTCGCTACTAAATCTGCTATTGCACATATTTTCGGTAGTACCACCTCCTGGTTGAATTAACAGTCGAATATATGCCAAAATGAACACTTCTGTGAGTTTGTCGCCACCTGTAAATCTTATTTCGCACTGTATACGTCTGAAACTACTTTTGGTTTTTCGCAAACATCTGGCAACATGCTGATGTCAATTTTTTCATTTCCCCCAATTTCGTTTTTCAATGAAACAAATACGCAATATGGGCCAAATTTGCCATACTGGAGGTCACATAAAAAACCGCGAAAGCGGAAAAGCGCGTAAAACGTATTTTAGGTAAAACGCCAACCATTGTTTTAATAGTGATAATTTGTCTTGACCTATTAAAGAGAACGGTATTTTTGGCAACGTGTATTACGAGCTATTGTTTCGAGCTTTCCAAAAAATTTTAAATGAGGCTTGTTGTACTGAATAATTTTTTTCGTAAAGAGGGTTTTAGGGTTCGTAAAAAGGGTTTTACCTCCGAGGTAATGTACGTTGGCGGACGCCCTAGCCACCGCAACGAAGTGGTGTGGCTCACAAACTTTATGCGTGGTAAAGACTCTGCTGGCCGACAGGTTGTCACCAGAATTGAAAACATGGGCAAAAGAGGCTAGTAAACCTATCACACCATTCCGACTAGGATCGCTACCGGACTCCTTCGTATCCTTGCCACGCCTCGGCAGCACCACGAGAATGGTCAGCGGCAATTACCAAACTTTGGCGTTCGTGCCAGGCATGCAGGGCGCAGATTGAGTTGATGGTCACAATCCTCCCGAAGATGTCGTCTTGGTAGCCATGGAACTCCGGTACTGCATACAGCCGGCGATCTTGAAGGTGCAGGCGAGAAGCCGGAGTTCAACGACACAATATAATTCAACTAACGTGAGAATTCCGGCAGAACAGGCAATATATATCCAGGCCTTTTTCGGGCGAGGCAACCGACGAGCCAGGAATCACAGCTGCGGAGTATCTGGTGGGCCTGATATTCACGGCCGCAGGATCCATGGCGAAGGACATGTGGATGGTGTCCCTTGTTTTGAACAGGTATGAAGCAATGGCATAAAAGCTCCGAGTAGGCCCAGGCGCCATCCCAAATGGTGGTGGCAGTGATGGCAAGTGAGCAGGTGTCGAAGAAGCCTGAATGCCGTCCTCAAGCTGCGCTAACAGCAGCTCCACGCTGGCGGGTTCCATGGACGAAAAATCTAAGACGTATGACTTCGATATCCTGTCGATTGCACCGATATAATGACGAAAAGTTGGACGAAATGCCTGCACGTATGCTAGGCCACCGGTGCTTATTCTGCTGTTCTTGCTTTCCTACTTCACGCCAGTCCCGAAGCGCCACTCTTGTTACGCTATATATAACAATGTAGATGCACATTTCTAAAAGAATTGTCAAATTTGACAAGTTACCCCCAGAACCTCAGCTTTCTCATAGTATAGGAATATTTGCGACTAGTGCATGCTGTCCCGTCCTACCACGTGAGTAGAAGAGGGGAGAGTACAGAAGGAAGGGAAAGAAATAGCTTAACAAGAGAAAAAAAAACGAGCAACACTTTAGGAGGGTTTTTAAGAATGGTTTTTCCAAACAAACGCATGATGTTAGTTTAGGAAATCCTGCCATCGTTTGACATACAAGCACCCACTTGTCTCCCCTCAAGAATGAACAGCATGGTGATCCTTTGCCTCGAGATTTCACCCTTGGGATTTAAGATTACGGGTGGCTTTTTTAGCGTCCATCGCTTCTGGATGACATAATTCATACGTGCGATCAACTTCTCTCAGACTGTGCCATTTGTTTTAAGTTCAGAGCACCTTAGGGGCAAGGCTGTCGTACCCACTTGAATAACACCACAAGAAGTGCATGTAACATAGCCAGCGGTAGCACGCGCTTGCCCCTAAAAGAAGCCTTCTCTTTCTTGTTCTACAATCGCCTTGATGGTAACGTTTACTGTGAACATTTTTAATATATCTAGGGAAAACACAGATCGTGGATACCAATTGAAAGAGGAAGCAAGGAAAAATCAGAGAGAGAAAAAAGGAAAATCATAAGAAAATAAAATGATACATTTAAGGAGAAAAAGACACTAAAATAGGTGGAAACGACCACAAAAATAAAGAGGCCAGGAAGTAAAGAGAAACCCAAAGAGAAAAAAAAACAAAGCTGCCTCAATGGTGCCACCCACTTGGCACGGGTGGGGCAAAGCTGCCTGAAACCTTTTTATATTGTCCTCTATAAGGTATACATCATCCGACTGATTTTCTACTTCAGGGAAACACAACAATACTCTGAGGAATTAATCTCTGTCAAGAAATTAATTTTCACCTTACAAATAGAGTTCCACACCAAGAGAGACAACATGCATGCACCCTCTCATCTGTATACTCTGCCATTAAAGATAGAGGCATTCTGAGAAACACTGTGCAGATATATGTCAGAACGCAGGAAGCAACGCTAATGCTATCACCGGCAATGTCAAGAAATAAGGGCTTATCGTGATGGAGGGGTAGATACGCGACACAATGCTTCCACGAAAACCGGCATACAGTAGGAGGCGAGTGGTCTTCGCTGACGAAAGCATTGCCTGTGCTCTGCTCAGATAGACACCCGAGAATGCTCATTGGTTACTGATTATCAGGCGCGAAAGCAGTCTAATGCGAATTAGTTGAACAGTCGAGGGATATTTTAAGACCGTAGGAAGTATTTGAGGCCGGCCATATACGCATGAGGTATTGAAGCGTAAACCTCACTGAAACCATCAGGAACCTAGAGCTCTGTGCACACCAACTACCGTCACAACCATCTTCGGAACGGTGAGTGTCAATGTGAGCATATTCGAACTCCAGATAATATTAAGCCCAGTCATCAACATTCCATTTCAAGTTTAGATGGTCGATAGATTGATATGTGGGGTTTAACGTCCCAAAGCCACCACGTGATTGTGAGAGGCGCCGTATAGTGGAGGGCTCCAGAAATTTCAGTCACCTGGGGTTCTTCATTTCCGCCTCCATTGTAAATGCAGCGTCCGCAGCCGGGATTCAATCCCGCAACCAGTGGGTCAGAAGCTGAGTGCCTTAGCCACTAGACCACCACGGCGGGGCGCAAGGTTACACAACAGTACGCAACCTCATATTACAGCGAGCAATGCACGTTGTACGATGATAGCGGCGAGCCCCGCCGTGGTGGTCTAGTGACTAAGGTACTCGGCTGCTGAAGAGCAGGTCGCGGGTTCGAATCCCGGCTGCGGCGGCTGCATCTTTGATGGAGGTGGAAATATTGTAGGCCCATGTGCTCAGGTTTGGATGCACGTTAAAAAACCCCAGGTAGTCGAAATTTCCGGAGCCCTCCATTACGGCGTCTCTCATAATCATATGGTGGATTTGGGACGTTAAACCCCACAAATCAATCAATCAATAATAGCGGCGAGCTAAGCTTTGGTGGTCAATAAAGATATAACAGTTAGGACGCGGGAGTCTTTCCGCGGACTGATCATCGCAAAAGCTCTAGAATAAGCTTGAGTGTTGGGTATTGCGCCCAATCTCAGCAAACCAATACAAACTATTACGATCATGAAGGCTCTCGAACAATGATTCGCGGCTGGTGTCGAGCATTGTTCACAGGCTTTGTGGGGTGCAAACACAATAGCACGAAATTGAAACAACAAGCGTGCAACATTCATGGCAATATATATATATATATATATATATATATATATATATATATATATATATATATATATGTTGTGAGGGAGTTTGTGATGGGGCGCTTCTATGGACACTATATCATATGGCAAGAGGACAAAAGGGCTGTGTGTACTAATATAAATGTGTTCAACAAAATGAGTAAGCCACGACTGCTGCTTTCAGCTATTAAAACGAATTTCGTTCTCAATCGGGGGCATTGGTCTTTTATATTTACAACATGGCATTAAATTGTATTTTAAATTGCCTTGTTTTTGCTCAGGGTAAAAAATGCGAATATAGTGCATGCATAATACGCAGTTTTTTAGGCTGGTCTTTATTTGTGCAATGTAAACCATAAAAGGCATCTCTTATAAGATCACTAACACAAGAGCCCTCGCGTTAGCTCACCGGCCATCCAGTTGCATCACCAGAAAATGGCTTATCTGCAAGCCTTGAAAAGCATGTAAACCGTGGTCATATTTTCATTTTTTTCACATGCCTTCTTTTGTATTTTAGGTCTATTTTTCGCGTTCACGCGAGAAATTCCAGTTGGATGTCGGCGCCGTGTCGCCTGCAGGTGTCTTATGTTTTCTGCTTCTGGGCTACTTTGATAAAGAGTGTACTTGGCCTGCTGGAAAGCAGGAAGAGGAACGGAAATTCACTGTTAACTGAAAACTATGCTTCATGTATAAATAACTTCTGCCAACACAGCGTGTCCAAAGCTCATCGGTGCCGACGTCAGTCGAGGCTGGTCGAGGCCACGTGGAACGCTCCAGTTAGCCGTGCCGACCGCTGTATTGCTTTGAAATATCGCTTTCTGGCGCTCAACCCTCCTTCATTTTTTTCATCCTAAGATAAGCGGATTGAAATACGATGTGAGTTATATTCGTTGGGCGTAGTTAGCTTCGTTAAAGCAGATACTAATGAGGGGCGCTATAATTTGAAGTAGCACACCATCGGGTGACTCTTTGTTCAGATATAGCTGCTCTGCTAAATGCGGGAAAAATATTTCTATGAGGAAATTGCCACTCATTTGGTGCCATGGTATGTCATCGTTCGAACTACGATATATTTTCATCCTTACTTATTTGCTGCAAGTGAAATGTCCCAGCTAATTCTTCTTAGATATACTCCCACATGTGACGTCAAATTTTCGTCGTGATGCAATTCATTTTCTCTATGAATTGAACGAAAGCTATTACTATTATTTTTTAACAATTGAACGAATCGTGCAAACGCTTGCTTGAGGTTCTCTGCCCTTGAGAAGGCAGTTATATTCTTCCCGGTCATTTTGGAGCCAGCCTTTTCACTGGAGCACTCTGTTGGTTTAAGCTTGCGGTGGAACGAAAATCGGTCTGTTATCTCTACATAGGAGAACTCGGGGCGGCATTGGTGACCTTGAGTACACGTCAACTCTCGAGGAAAAGAATTATCTCTGAGCTTACGGGAAATAGTTATCGCGCTGCCGCATATCGAATGACCGGCCTACCTAAGCGTGAATACAATTGCCACTGATGCAGAATACACCCATGTTTGCATAATTGATTCCAGGCGTTTATTTTTTACAGCCACAATATATTTGTGAGTCTTGCCGAAGTGGGAAACTGCGGAATCCTAAACTAACGTCTGAATGCAATTCAACTATGAGCTGATGGCACCTATCTAAATGCAGCCTCACTGCCCTGGGAACCGAACCCCTTTTTTTCAAGTTTGGCTTGTGATATATTATTTCTGTTTTAAAAGTCTCATATACGCGGCCCGCGGGCTGCATTCTACTGGAAACGTCTCGCCAACGGCCCACACACGACTGTTTCCGTCTGTTACCTTTTCTTTATGAGTGTGTTTATGAGCTAAGGTTGGTTTGCTCAGTCAGGGGCGAGAATCATTTCCGAGGCGACACTGAATTTCTGTAATTTCTCAGTGGTAGCTGATTTATTGCTTTCTTGCGTATAAGTTTCGGCCATTTCTTTTTCAAGCTTAGGCAAATTCAGAACCTTATAGTATTCAGCGGTCTCCCATCGGATCTGGCCAACAACTGCCGAATCCTGTACGATGCTGATAACCACGTCACGTAGCAGGATTTCGTGCAAGCTACTGAACAATCGAATACATCATATTTATATATTTATATATATTTAGGAATGCAAGAAATAATTAGCCTTCACACAGGTATCAACCGTCATGCATGCATTGCGGTATCAAAGTGTCGATGAGGCCTATACGAGCGTACCGAACGAAGTGTACAGCGGACTCGCAGCCACCGTAGACATTCTTAATTACCGCGACAGAACCCCAATAAAGGAGGATGTAAGGCATAAAAAAGCACTCAACCCAATGCTACTTACCGCCTGCTAATAAAAGTATTTCAGGGCCCTGGATCGTCAAGAGTTTGTACAAAGAAATGATGGAGAGCACCTTATTGACCGGATATTCAGAGATGAGATTGCATTATTCAGTTAGTCAGGGGACGAATCGTTACTTGAAGGAAAGTAGGAGAGAAAGTCTAAAAGTTATTGTGCATAAAACTAAATTATCGCGCGAAAATGTCTGCAGCGACCAGTGTTTTAAGATTGGTCGCAAGACACGAAGGTGGCAGCAGAAAGGTATGTGAGCAGGTGAGAAAATTGATGGGCAGCTTGCGATATTGAACAGCATTTGCACTTTGATAAGTGTGGTCGCACTGTCTGACAACGCACACTGTTCGCATAATAAGAACTAAGCCACCCAGAACACGCAGTAGATCACAACTTCACGCAAGAAGCAGGAAAAAAAGTGGGCCACTGCAGTGGCTGTGCCGGTCGAGCTAGTTTAAGGAGTGGGAAGGCAAGGATACACGGAGTAGAGCATATCCTTAACTGTACTTGATAGAGGAACTAAGCAGATTGCTCGCAAAATTCGCAGAGCATACGACTGGGAACTAAAGAATTTCTATATTATTTTTTTCGTTTTCAATGTTCGTGTATGTCTATTACATTACAGCAAAATAAAGTTTTGCTATAACACTCTGTTTGTAAGCTCTTTTACTTAGACGTTTCGCTGTCGTCACAATTTAGTGTCTATAGCAGCCAATGGCCCCGCATGGCCACTAACCCCCCCCCCCCCCCAAAAAAAAACTGCGATTTCAAACGGGCGTCGGTAATTAGAGACAATGTGCCGCAATGTTTCGCATTGAATCGGAATTTCTAAACCTTATGAAAGTGGGCAGAATTGCAACTGAGAATATTTATTGTCATTTCACGACGTTTTTAAGAACATACGGGAAGTACCACGAAGGCTTGCCGTTTTCTCTACGTAACATTTTCTCCCTGCCTCTTCCCGGCCTTGAATTCGAAAAAATAGAAGAAAAATAACCGAGCTTGGTTCTATTTCATTCTTTGCTTTCTTTGTTTCCAGAAGAATGTAATACATGGCTTCGTACGCTCCTGAAACATCGTGTATTGCCACTGCGACTCTTGACAGGCAGCATCGTTTCTTGAAGGAACTGGGACTATACATCGCACTTCTTCTCCTTTCGCCACCGCACTGCCGCTTGATTCTCTACCCATGCAGAGCTGTCGCGCTGCACTAGTGGGAAAATATGTCTCAGCCCTGGAGGCACTTCGAAAAGCGAACGTAGTCAAAGGAAAAATTATCTTTAAGCTCGCTTGCGATGTGGAGCAGACGATAGACGAAAACAACGCCCGACTAAACGCCAAATTCCATTCCGAAGTCCGCCATATTGCTTGTTCTATGGAATACGTGGAAGTAACCGTCATATTGTCATACGTTAAATATACATAAAGGTCGAATAGCCACGTGACTGTGTGGTCGCTTGCCGCGAGACAGCCTGCTCGGCACGGCGGAGCGCTGGTGCGTTGTCAAGCAGGAACACTGCATGCCTGTATTACCAGTTCCTGCTGAGAATTTTTCTCGACACTTCTGCGAGAAAGTCGTTGAAGACAGCCCCAGTGTACCTTGTCCACAATTGTCTAATGGAGAAGGCCATTCGCCGACATGCAGGCTATAACATTTACATTCGCCCTCTTCGCACTAGTTGGCAAACGGCACGCTAGAGCACCTCGTTTCGCTCTTCCGAAACACGCGAGCACCATACGTTGAAGTTGGTCTCGTCGATGTAGTATCATGTTAGT